CCCCCAGGAAGTCAGTGATCCAGGCATTCGTGTGTATTGAGGGTGGTATGCCCTGGGTGGGGGTGAAGGGTCTCAGGTGGTTCCTGGCTGGGTGCCCAGGGCTTGGAGGGGGTCCAGGACTCAGAGGGGCAGGTGGGATCAAGGGGCCAGACGGGGCTTGGGAGGGCAGTCCCCAGACAACTGTTGGCCCCACTTCCCTGCACCCCAACTTTGGTGGGGCTGCTGTCCCAGGAGGCAGCTGGCCCCTGCCCCCCAGGTTGGAAACGAGGGGGGCTGTAGGGGCCATCCTGGGTATGTGGGGTTCTCTTGGGCCCAGAGTCGCTGACTCCACTTCTGTGGAGTGTGTAGGTCTCTGGGGTCTGAGGGTCTGGGGTCACATGGTCTTGTCCCTGTGCCTCTGAAGTTCCTCTTACTACCAGGACACTAGACTATGGATTCAGGGCCCACCCTCCTCCAGCATGGCCTCCTCTTAGCTAATTACATCTGCAAAGACCCTTTTTCCAGAGGCAGTCATATTCTGGGGTTTTGAGTGGACATGTGTTTTGGGGGACACTATTCAAATCACTGCAACTGACACCTGCCCAGAGACCCCCAGTGGAGGCCTCTGAGGCAGACTTGTGAGCCAAGACCCTGCTCGGGGTGGTGGCTGGCATGGGGAGGAAGGACTCTTTGCCCTGGTGGCTGGGCAGGTGTCAGGGGACTGCAGTGGGGCCTATGGCCCCCTGGGCTGGGCGGGGGTGCTGGCTGGCTCGACCCTAGGGCAGTGCATGAGCTCTGAACATGCTGTCCACTTCCGTTCGACGGGGTAGTGATAGGCCATGCTGGACACGGTGCCTGGTGACAGCGGACAGACAGAGGGACAGAGCCCAGCCTGGCAGCTTGCTCCGCGCCAGCCCCGCAGCTGCATGATGGCCACAATGGACTGAGGGGCATTGATGGAGACACAGTTGGTCCCTGATAACTAGCTAATGGCGCTTCATATTTTTTTATGGAGAAGAATCGTGTGAGTGTGAAGACCCAGTGGGGAGATGAAGGCCACTTGATGAAGAGCCTTGAGCCCACCCCTTAAAGGAACAAGACGTTCCCCCCCCCTTTTCCATGCGGCACAGACAGCTGGCTCCTTAAATATTAATCAGGGGTTATTGAGATGCAAATGTGTGCCCACCACAGAAAGGCCTGCAGCTGCAGGGCTGGCGCCGAGTGCCCTCCACAGTCCAGGTGCAGCACCCACCAGAGCCAGCACAAGGAGGAGGTGACTGGCCAGCGACCCTCCCTGAGGACAAAGACATCATTTGCCCCTCAACAGGAGGCATCATCTTGTCTCATTGGCTTTGCCCGTCATAGCTTTCCTGGCTTTTAGCCTTAAACCAAGGTGTCCTTGCAGGTAGACGTGGATGGGAATGGGGTGGCCTGCCAGTCTTCTCTATCGTGCAAAGCTTTGTCAAGTTTGCGTGTGTCCCTCTGGTTTCAGGCTGACTTTAGGTAGCTATGTTTGTGCTCACAGCAGAACCGAGCCATCAGCCTGATGCCCTGCGTGGAGAGAGGGGGCATGCGAGGCTTCCCCGGTCCTTGCCTGGGCTGGAACTGGTCCCATGGCAGCTTAAAAAGAGGACAGAAAACACTTCGAAAGAGTGGAAAATGGGGAGTGGAGAGGGATGGCAACAAGCCAAGGAAAAGCACAGTCAAGACACGCAAGATGGGGACATAAGTACATCAGGACTCACGGTTGACAGACTCCGCTTTGCTTACACTTTCTTATACGTGTCCATGAAAAGACAAGCAACTTAGTGCTCATCATGATAAACATGCCAGAAACAAAGTAGGCTCTCATGCTTGGCCATGAGAACAGGTTTTTCCATTTAAAATATTTTAATTGTGAATTGGAACTCATACAAAAAAGTCCACAAAATGTGTGCTCTCAGAAAACTTTACAAACTGGGTATCAGTGTAACAAGCATCAGGCCAAGAACTAGAGCACTACCAGACCCCTCGTGGCCCCTGGTGTCCATCCCCAGCATAAGCCTGGCCCCGTGCAGACCCAGTGTTGTCCCACACATCTGGGAGAGTTAGCCACACAGCCTGTGCCCCGGTGCGTCAGGCCCCTCTTGATCAGCAGCACACCTGTGACATTCACCCCATCTGCCTCGTGTTGTAGATTGTCAATTCTCTTTGCTGCAAAGTCTCCCACGAACACTCATTTGTCCATTCTACTCTTGGTGATGAGTTGTTGGCAGTTTTTGTCTCTTGTGAACAGTGCTGCTGTGACCCTTAGCGTAGGCCTCCTAGAGGGTGCCTGTCCACGCATCTGTTGTGTACACACTGAGGGAGGGAGCTGCTGGGTCCGAAAAGCATTTTGATTGATCTAGGCCTTCATCAACACATGGCATTGTCAATATTTTTTTTTTTAAAGATTTTTTATTTATTTATCTGAGACAGAGAGAATGAGAGAGACAGAGAGCACATGAGAGGGGGGAGGGTCAGAGGGAGAAGCAGGCTCCCTGCTGAGCAGGGAGCCCGATGCGGACTCGATCCAGGGACTCCAGGATCATGACCTGAGCTGAAGGCAGTCGCTTAACCAACTGAGCCACCCAGGCGCCCTGTCAATATTTTTTTATTTTAGCCCGGTGCAGGGGATATTTCAGGGTTTCTTTGTTATCTTCTGTTTTCAAAATCAACTTGATCGAGGTGCAAGTGGTAGCATGCAGGTGCTGGCTTACACTACCCTGTAAGAGCTGACTACACGTATCCTTTCTCAGCTCTGTGCCGAGTGATGACATGTTGGTCACTTGAAATCACATGCAGTGGGTGTATTTAGATTGTGGAAGTTAAAAACACTACAAATCAGCTTGATTTGGAGACTCCGTTGCAGTTTACATAAAATGCACCTACTTTAAGTGTACAGCTTGATGGTTTTTGAGAATGTGTACACCATGTTACCTACGTGCAATTGAGATACAGTGTTTCCAGCCCCCCAAATGTTCTTGTTCTACTTCCCAGTCACCCCCTCCCCAACATGGCCCTAGGTAACCATGACCTGTTTTCTGTCACTGCAGTTGAGACTTTTTTCCTCCTTAGAGTTCCGTATAAACGGAATAATTTGGTGTACATTCTTTTATCTCTGGATTCATTATTAGCTCAGCATGTTTTTGAGGTTCAAATGTGTTATGTGTATCAATGATATCTATCTACTGCTAGTAGATACAACACAGTGGATTCATTCACTCTTCTGCTGATGGACCCTTGGGCTATTTCCTAGTTTTTGGCTAGTCTGAATAAATCTGCTAAAAGCATTCCTCACAGGTCTGTTTTCTCATTTCTCTCGGTAGATACTTGGAATGGCTGGGTTGTATGGTAGAATATGTTTAGTGTTTTCAGAAATGCCAGACTTTTCCAGAGTAGTTGTACTTTTTTATATTCTGACCAGCAGTGTATGAGTGTTTGTATAGGATATTTCTCCATTAAATGTTGGGATAGAACACACCAGTCAAGTCATCTCAGCCTGAAATTTTCTGTGAGGTTTTAATTTATGAATTCAATTCCTTTCATAGTTATGGGACTACTTGGGTTTTGTCTTTCTTTGTAAATCAGTTTTAGTAACTTATATCTTTTAGGGAATTGTTTTCATTTCATCCTGGTATGCCAAATCCATTAGAATAAAGTTGATAATATTCTTTTATTTCCCTTTCAGTGTCTGTAGGACCTGTAGTGATGACTCTGCTTTCCTTCTTGATATTGATAATCTGTATTTTCTCTCCTTTTCCCTTGATTGTTGTAGCTAAAGGTTTATCCATTTCACTGGCATCTTCAAAGAACCAGACTGGGTTTCATTGGTTTTGTTCTCAAATGTTTTGGCCCTGAAAGAGTTCTGGTTTTATGCAAAAGAGTTTTGGTTTTATGCAAAGGCCTTTTTGGGAGTCCCCATGTCCTCACGACAAGGTGCCTCTTCCCTGCTGCCCACCCTGCTGCCCACCCAGTCAAGTCCATCCCAGTGGACAAGGTGGCCACACACCTTGGAGAGATGGGGTAGAACTCCATCTCTGCTAGGTGTTGAGCTGATTCCAGGTAAGGGCAGGGCAGGCATCCTTGGCAGAAAGCCATCTAGATGGCAAAAGGTTTATGCATCGTGTAACCATGGCTGCTATTTATTTACTCAAAATGTCCATGGCCAATTGGTAGCTGCTGTAAGAGTTCATGTATGGTCATATGCTGGCTCTGGACACCCACTTTCTATCCCACTGGCTAAGCACAACCTTATGTAATGGCCTTAAGAGAATCTAGCCCTATGCACTTAACACAAAAGGGATGAGTACTTTATCTGCTTGGCTCCCCTGCATTCCCACTAGATCTTGGCAATGTGAGGTCTCCTGGCCTCTGAGACAGGGAGGTCCAGGGTGTTGGGATGCTTAGGAGGTTTTTCTTGGTTTTTGTTTTATTTTTAAAAATTGAGGTTAAACTGACATTACCACAGAGTTAAGCATTTTAAAGGGAACAGTTGGTGGCATTTAGTGTATCATAGTGTTCTGTAATCACCACCTCTATCTAGTTCTGAACTCTTCCATCCCCTCAGAAGGAACCCCTCTATCCATGATTCTGTCACTCTTCATTCTCCCCTCACTCCAGCCTCTAGCAATCACCAGTCTTCCTGGCTCTACAGACTTACCTGTTCAAGATATTTCATATAAATAGAACCATATAATAGGTGATCTTTTGTGTCTGGCTGATTTCACTGAGCATAATATTTTGAAGGTTTATCTACATTTTAGCAGGTGTCAATACTGAAAACTATTCCATTGTATGGAGAGACCACATTTTGTTTGTGTATTCCTCTGTTGCTGGACATTTGGGTTAGTTTTCGCCTTTTGGCTGTTGTGAATTGTGCTGCCGTGAACATTCATGCACAAGTATCTGAGTCCGTGTTTTCATTTCTCTTGGATATGTATACCCAGAAGTGGAATTGCTGGATCTTGTGGTTGTTCACCCATGTTTAACTTTTTGAGGACCTGTCAGACTGTTTCCACAGTGGCTGCACCATTTACATTCCCACCTGCAATGTACAGAGTTTCCAATTTCTCCACATCCTTGCCAACGCTTGTTACTGTTTATTAAAAAAATCACAGCCACCCAGGTGGGTGTGAAGTAGTATCTTACTGTGGTTTTCACATGACTAAAGATGTTGATTATCTTTTTGTGTGCTTTTGGCCACTTGTGTGTCTTCTTTGGAGAAAGGGCTGATCAAGTCCTTTTGAATTGGGGTTTGTCTTTTTTGATGCTCAGCTGTATATATATATCCTGGATACTAGACTCTTTATCAGTTATATAACTTGGAAGTATTTTCTCCCACTCTGTGGGTTGTCTTTTCACTTTCCTGATAATGTCCTCAGATGCACAAAAGTTTTAAATTTTGATATTGTCCAATCTATCTGGTTTTCCTTTTGTTGCTCCTGCTGTTGGTGTCCTAAGTATCCATTGTTAAATCCATGTTTTCTCTTGGGACTTTTAATAATTTCAGCTCTTTCATCCATTCTAAGTTTTTTTTTTATTTTAAGAACTTTTTTTTTTTAAAGATTTTATTTATTTGACAGAGAAAGACACAGTGAGAGAGGGAACACAAGCAGGGGGAGTGGAAGAGGGAGAAGCAGGCTTCCTATGGAGCAGGGAGCCCGATGCGGGTCTCGATTCCAGGATCCTGGGATCATGACCTGAGCGAAGGCAGATGCTTAACGATTAAGCCACCCAGGCGCCCCCTGAGTTAATTTTTGAATACAGTGTGAGGTAAGGACCCAGCTTCATTCTTTAGTGCTCTAAGGCCTGCTTTCCCAGCACCAACTGACCTTTCCCTGTCTTGGCATCTTTGTCAAAAATAATTTGACCATATGTGTGAGGGTTTATTAGGTTTCCATTCTATTTCTCTCGTCCACGTGTCTTTTGTTATGCCAAGACCACACTGTTTTGATGACTAAAGCTTTGTAGTAAGTTTTCAAATCAGGAAATGTGAATCCTCCAACTTCTTCCTAAAGATTGTTTTTGTTATTTGGGGCCCTTTGCAATTCCATGTGAATTTGAGCGTTGGCTTTTCCATTTCTACGAAAAAAAAAAGGCCATTGGAATTTCAGTAGAGATTTCACTGGCTTTGTAGACTGCTTTGGGTAGTACTGTCATCTTAACACTATTGTCACGTGTTTACAGATGTGGGTGTCTTTCCACTGATTTAGGTCTTCTTTAGCATTATTTTCCAGCAGTGTTACATAGTTTTTGAGTGTACAAGTCTTTTGCCTCCTTGGTTGTTTTTTGGTAGGTATTTTTTTGAATGCAATTGTGAATGAAATTGTTTCCTTAGTTTCTGTTTTAGATTGCTCATTGCTGGTGTATAGAAGCATATCTGATTTGTTGGTGTTGATTCTTTTCCCTGTAACTTTGCTGAGTTAGTTTATTAGCTCTAGTGGGTGTTTTTTCTTTTGGTGGATCATTGGAATTTTCTATGTATAGGATCACGTCATCTGTGAATAGAGGTGGTTTTACTTCTTTCTTTTTACTTTAAAGCTTTTTGTTTTTTTGACTAATTGCTCTGGCTGGAACTTCAGTATGGTGTTAAGTGGCATTGATGACAATGGGCATTCTTGTCTCAGTTTGATCTTTGGGGGAAAGTTTTTACTCTTTCACTATTGACCCTGGGTTTTTGCTAACTACTGTTTATTATGTTGAGGAAGTTTCCTGAGGGGCTTTTCTCATGAAAGGTTGTTGGATTTTGTTGAATGCTTTTCCTGCATCAGTTGAGAAGACTGTGTGCTGTTCCCCCCTACCCCCCGCATTCTGTTGATGTGATGTACTGCAGTGATTGATTTTCTTAAGCAATGCCATTTGGTCATGGCATATAATCCTCTTATCATGCTGTTATTTTGCTAGTATTTTGTTGAGGATTTTTGCCTACAGATGCAAAAATCATAAGGGATATTGGTGTCTTTGACTTTGTTGTTATCAGTGTAAAATTGGCCTCATGAGTTAGGAAGTTTTCCCTTTTCTAATTTTTTTGAAGAGTTTGGGAAGGATTGGTGTTAATTCTTCTAAAATTCTTGGTAGAATTCAGCAATGAAGCCATCTTGTCCAGTATTTTTCTTTATTGGGAGGTTTTTGATTACTGATGCAGTCTCTTTACTTGTAGATCTTTTACAACTTTGTTTCTTCCTCAGTCACTTTTGGTAGTTTGTGTGTTTCTAGGATTTTGTCAGTTCAGTGATGTGATCTAATTTTTTGGCGTACTGTTGCTCATAGCACTCTTGTAATCCTTTTTACTTCCATAAGGTCAGTAGTAATGTCTCCGCTTTATTTTGATTTTAATTATTTGCATCTTCTTTCTCTGTCAGTCAAGCTAAAGTCTTGTTAATTTCATTGATTACTTTAGGAGTTTAATGGTCTATTTGCTGATAGGTCAGTCCCACTTTACTCAGTGGCTTTGAAACTGCATTCCTGAGGATGATGGCATCTTTGTACTGTGTGGATACAGGGCAGAGAGGTCAACGTGGGGAATGGACCCAGGGAACAGGTTGTTGTGCTGCTGAGCAGGGGACCTTCTTGGCAGATGGAGGCAAACAGCTGCCTCAGGACTTGAGAGGCTGTCCTTCCCAGGAGCCTACTCACTTCTAAAAGGGATGTTAATCATAAGGGTGCTGGGGGCTTGGGGCTGAGGGGTGCTTGGGAGTGACAAATGCATGGGATAAAATTAAAGATAAAAGCCACAAATCCATTCATCTGGAAATTAAAATCCCCACCTCTATTTTTTTTGATGAGTTAACCAGGAAATCAACATTTCTAGAATTCAGAGAAGGTTCACAGCGTCCAGCAGAGGCTGCAGGTGCAGCTGGGGGTCTTTAGCCGCATTTCCTAGAGATGAGAAGGAGGAATAGAAAGAAATGGAAGTTTTCAGTCCAAGACGGCAAAGAGTGAACGCCTGGACTATGGAGGAAGGAGCTAGTGAACAGGAGAGCTGACGGGAAAACCCAGTGTCGGGGCTTTGAGACTGACAAGGAGATAAGAAAGGAAAGCCCAAAGTATGCATCAGGAATGGAGAAGGGCCATCACCCCAGAGAGGGGGAGAGTTATGGAAGTTACAGGGACATATGGTGAACAGTGTGAATCATCGCAAAAGAAACTGAGCGGAACAGTTATGAGTAAGAACTGCTCAGGTTCCCCAGGCCCCACCTGGGCCAGTTTTAGTCATCTGTAACATTCTTGGATTCACCACATGTCCATCCTCCTGCAGAGCCCCTGGGCCTGAGGTGTGCGGACCCTGTGCAGCCAGCCCCCAGTGGCCTGGGACCGCAGGGCATAGGACCGTCCCAGTGCAGATGCAGGAGACCCAGGGGAAGAGGGGGCCACACCAGGAACTTGATGCCCCCGGGGGGTCTCCGATCTGAGGACCCTCTCAGCAAGTAAGCAGATGTCTACGCCCCATAGTTGGGCGAAGGCTTGTGCACACCCTGCCTCACATGTGGTGTGGGCTGCTGTTCCTGGCCCCTCCCTTGAACCTTGGCGCTTTCCCCCACCCCTTGGGTTTTGGGGGGTGAGGGCAGCATCTCTGGCACGTTGACCTAAGCCTGACGCCCTTGGCTTCTGCTACGTCTGTTTCTTACCAGCTGGGAGGAAAGAATGCACTCAGTCCACCTGGACACAGCTGTCCAGGGGCTCCTCAGACCTGGATGGCTGGGGAGGAAGGGTGGGCTCACATCCCATGTCCCTGAGCCCCCATCTCCTGAAGTTTCTCTTGTGTTGACCAAGAAACAGCAGATTCCGAGAGAGGGCAGTGTCGGGCAGAGCAGACGCAAACAGAGTTTGGGCCTTTCTCCTTCGTGAGGTGGACGGTTTATCCAGGTCGGGCCCCCACCAGCCTGGTGTGTGACCACGAGCAGCTTGGGCCCTGGAGGGGTGTGGGCTGTGTGGGTGCTGGCACGGGAGCTGCCACAGCAAAGGCCCTGTGGCCTGGTAGGCCGGTGGGGTGACATGCTGACCCCAGGCTTGTGCTCAGTGAGGTGGGGTAGCCACGGGAGGATTGTGAGTGGAGGAGGGATGCGGTCTCTCAGGAGGTTGTGGGCCTCCGGCTAGGCTCTGTCTGTTGACTCATGGATGGAGGCTGGGGGGCCCTTAGCCTCTGGAAGGGTGGAGGCAGGGGGAGGAGATCTGATGGGGTCCCTTTTGTCAGAGGCCCCAGTGCCTGGACCTGGAGTCCCCTGCAGTGGTCCCCAAGGTGAGCAGATGTTTGTCTTGTCCCAGGACGGGTATGCCCCCAAGGCCTAAGCATTGTGTATCTCTTAGGGGTTCCTGGGAGACTGGGGGGGTGGGTGCAGAGCTGGACTGAGGCCTAGAGAGGAGCCCCCGGGCAGGGGTTCTGAGTCCCTGGGTGGCAGTGAGCCCAGAGTGCAGCAAGAAGGGGTGGCCACCCAAGCCCAGGCCCCCTGCCCACTCTGGTGCCCCCACCCAGCGGCAGAGCCCCTGGGACAGCCCCCCGGGAAGGGCTGCCCAGGCCACGGCGGCCCGGTGGTCAGCTCCATGCGGCTGCCGCGGGCAGACTTGCTGGCTCCAGGCTCCTCATCTGAGGCCGAGTCTGTTCTGAGACAGACACAGGGAGCCTGTTTCCCTGCGAGCAGGAACACGGCCTCTCTGTTGGCACCTGGACTGGCTGGCCCCCCAGGCGGGCTGTTGGGGGTGGGCGCTCCACACAGACCCGCGCTTGTGCCCACCTCGGCCGGGCCTCCTGCCTGAACTGCCTCGTTCGTGCCGGGATCCTCTCTGGTGCAGCCAGGCCTGCTGGACAGTTGCGGGGGAGGAGGGGTGGCCTGCCCAGTGACCGGGGCAGGGGCTTATGCCACCCGGTGCTTGGCTGGTGGTTCAGCAGGGATACCGCCCCTCGGGTGAGACTTCGGTTTGCTCACAGCTCACATCAGGCAGTAAAGAATTGGGGCCACACCCCACTTCAAATGGCAGAGGGCCCCAGAAGGATCGCCAGGCAAAGAATCATCTAGTCAGAACTGCTGCTTTGGGCACTCCCAGGGCCCAGGCCTGCAGGTCAGGGAGGGTGGGGCGGGGGGGGGGGAGGACTGGCCCGCCCGAGGAACAACAAAGGGCTTCTGTCCATGCCTCTGGACGCTGGACCTGGGGAGGCACGAAGGTTCTGAGGAGGACCGGGAGCCGTGGCTTCTCCCTTTCCCAGCCCTCTCCTGGATGTGGGGGGACGGCCATGGTGGGCTAAGAGCACAGGTAGGGAGTGGCAGCTTCCTTGTGACCATACCAAGCATGTGATGGGGTTCAGCTGCCTGGGTACAGGGGCCTGACTGGGGACCAGCCCTCCCCTGTGCTCTGGGGGCTGGTGGACACCACGGGGTCAGGAGCTTCATGGGGCTCTCTGTGATGAACATGCCGGCCCAGGGACCCCCCCCTCTCTCAGCCTGCTTTCCAGGAGGTCTGGGTGCAGGGCAGGGGTGCCCGAGCACACGACACTTCACTCCAGCGACAGGGCCTTCCTGCTTTATTCCTCTGTGCACAGACCTGGGGCCGCTTCTACTCCAGTTCTGGGTATGGCCACTCCCGTGACCGGAAGTAGTCCTCTAGGTCGCGGAGGCTGAGTGGGGGGAAGTAGGGGCCGATCCTCTTGCGGACCCACCACTTGCCTGCAGCAGCGTGCTGGCCCCCAGGGCGGCTGAACTTGTACCTGTAGTGCTCGCCCCGGACCCACCTGCAAGGGGAGACCCCACGTCGGGTAGCCTGTCCCTCTGCCTGCCGAGCTGCCACTCCTTGGAGGGACAGACCACCAGGCCCTGCCATGGGGACATCTGGAAGAGGGCCAAACACGCAGCTCTGGAGCCCGTTGGCATTGAGGGGCTCGCCTTGCCTTCTGGAGGCCCCCACCCCTTGAGCAGGCCAGCAGTGTGCAACAAAGGGGCTGGCCCAGAGCCTGGGGACCTTTACACCCAGGCACATTTTCTGGGGTCCTGAGCATGGCCGGGGGTCCATCTGTAGGAGGACCCCTGAGAGGCTGCGGTCGACAGGGGTCCCCCGTTCAGGAGGGGAGTCCTACCTGGGGGGCGCCCTGTCCTCGAAAGGGTTGAGGGCCAGTAGGGACACAGCCGTGGCGTCGTTGGCCAGGAGCCTGCCTGCCAGGTGGATGATCCACTCGTTGTGCTCGTAGGTCTAGGGGTGGGAAAGGGAGGGGGTGCTGGCTCCAGGCACAGAGCCAGGGATGCAGGGAACCCTTGGCTCCCTGCCTGGTCACCCTCCTGCGTGGTGGGGGGTTAGGCTCTCCTGCCTGGTGGGCCCACATTCCCTCCCTGCTCTGGCTCATTGGGCAGGTGTGTGTAGACGGCTCCTCTGTGGGGTGGGCTGGCGCAGCGCGGTCCTGTTCTTGGGGAGCGGCTCCCTCTGTGATATGGTGAGTGGACAGCCGGCCCACTAGACAGTTTCCACATCAGCCTCACAGAGTCCCGGCTTGGGAGTAAGGGGCTGGTGAGGGTCCAGGCCCAAGAGCAGAGCTCAGCCCACCGTCCCCCTCTCTGCCCCCCCCACCAGGGCTCTCAGTGGTGGCGCCTGCCAGCCCTGGGGTCTCACATGAGTGACGGTCTTCACAGGCAGGGGCAGCCCTACCAGGCCTGTCTTGTCATCGCTGGTGGGGACGCCCTGGCCCCCTGCACCCACAGACCCTTGTGTGAGGGTGTCCAGGCAGTGTGGAGACCCCACCTGGGCTGTCCACAGACGCAAAGCCTATGCGCACAGAGAACACCCAAGGGAAAGACCCAGGAGGAAGATGTGGCCCAAGGGGCTGGGATTGTGTCCTGGGTGCCACACGTTGTGTGCCCGGCCCGTTGCCCCAGGGTGCAATGCTGGAGGGGCGAAGACGCCCCTGTCCCATGTCAGCGAGGCCCGGGGAGGGTGTCACATGAAGGAGTGACCTCACCCCCACCAGCCACTTTGGACGTCCCCACCGAGGTGGCCACAGCCTCAGGAACACACCCGGGAGGGGAGGGGAGGCCCTTACCTGGAAAGCGGCAAACCACATGAGCCAGTCCAGGCGGTGGTGGTAGGGGGAGATGAGGCATGGCCGCCGCCCTGGGTCACCTGGCTTGCACTTGAACTCGTAGTCCTCCCACACAGCGTCCGGCGTGCTGGCATTGGGGCTAGCTGTGCCCTGCAGGATGACCTCCGTGCGCTCCTTGGTGATGCTGCGGGGAGACCGAGGCGGGGGCTCTGGGCGCACGAAGGCAGCTGCTATGCCTCTGCACCCTGGCTTCCTTCTGGAGCTGACCAGGGTGAGGGGCTGCCCCCTGGAGGGTCAAGGGGTGCTCCCTCAGGGCCCTGGGTCCCACGTGTGCACGCAGTGGACGGGGCGAGGAGCGGCTGTACCCGTACCTCCCGAAGGCGCCGTACGTGTTGACGATCCTGAGAGGGTTGAAGGAGGTGTTCATGACCTGCGTGGGACTCAGCAGGTTGATGACCACGGGGACACTGAGCCAGGCCACCAGGATGCCCAGTGCCACGTGCACTGCCCGCCGCACCATGCAGCCTGGTGGGGGGCAGAGAGGGGGACGGTGGGGTGAGCTCTGCTCTTGGGCCTGGACCCTCGCCAGCCCCTTACTCCCAAGCCGGGACTCTTTGTGAGGCTGATGTGGAAACTGTCTAGTGGGCTGGCTGTCCACTCACCGTATCGCAGAGGGGGGCGGGCCCCTCGGGCAGCTTCCTCCTGCAGCTTCAGGACTCGGTCCTTAAGGCCACCGGGCCCGGAGGGAAACAAGAACCCCAAAGTGGCGTCATCGAAGCAGGCCATGCTGGGCACCATGGTCAGCCAGTTCAGGAAGCTCAGGTTCCCGCTGATGATGAGGACCACCTGGAAGGTACGGGGCAGTGCCTGAGCCCGGGCCTGGGGAGCTTGCTGAGGACCACACCCGTGGCAGACTCTGTGCAGGGCGTGGTGGCCGCAGTGCTGGTGTGGGGGGCAGCGACGCCCGGAGGGCTAGCCTTTTGAGAAGCAGACAGGGTGCTCGTGCCGATTCTTGAGATGCCTGAGGGCCGGGCCCCTGTCTCCCCACCGGCCGCATGCCCGTCTCTCTGACCACCGGGCCCACGTGTGTCCATGCCTCAGCTGATCTCTGAGGCGGGTTCTTGCTAGAGCCCTGAGCGGGACCCAGCCTGCAGACACCTCTGTTCTGGTCTCTGAGGCTGCCTGATTCCTACCTACAGAACTGGGAGCTGGCTGCTTTGTGCAGTTTGATGCTGTAGTCTGTGTTTGGGGCAAGCGCTCTGGTGACTGTCAGTGGGTACAGGTCTGGGGCAGCCCCCGGGGACCTGTGCCCGAGTCATGTGGGAGGTGGACAAGGCTCTTGCTGCTCACCTGGAAGTTAGGGGTGAGGGGGTACCTGTCTGGTTGCCCTGACCTGCACATCTAGCAGCCCCCCAGACACGTCCACAGTGACCATGCATGAGGCCGGCCTGGGCGTCTGCTGGGTTAGGCGTGGCTTCGTGGAGTCCGACCTCCTGCACTTTCTAGGGTCCGTAAGACGGAGCTGGCCGCTGTCCCTCCTCAGAGGCCTCGAGCAGCCCCGGCTGGCTCTGCTGCAGTGTCTGGGGTGACACAAGGTCTAGGAGGTCCAAATGGGCCTGCCCTGTGTCCCAGTCCTGCTGGGCTCATCTACAGACTTGGTACTAACTACACGGTGGCAGTTTTCCCATAAGGCTCACCTTAAAAACGACTTTAAGCATCTTGGTCTTAAGAACGAAGGTCACAGAGTCTCCGGGTGGATTGAGTACCGACACCCTGGGTGTTCCTGCACCCCCAGCCCGTTTCCCAGCGAGCTGCTGGCCGTCAGAGGCCTGCAGCCTGGAGCTGCCTCTCAGCTGGGACTTCTAGAAGGTTCCTTCTAGCAGCTGCACATTTTGTACATTGTTTTAGTGACTTAGAAATAACATCTTTGGCCCGCTTATGATGACCCTGTCATTGGGCACTGGAGGGTGAGGAGGGGAGGCTGCTGCGCCCATGCCCTGCCCACAGGCAGCAGGCTCTCCAAATCCAGCCGGCCCTCAGGGACCACGGGCAGCATGGCTCGCAGCCCAAATGCGCCCGATGGGGGGCCTCCTGTGCGGGAGGTCCCCGAGCAGGCCCCGATGCCCTGGGGTGCGGCTCCCCGGGCATGAACAGACGCCCCCAGAGCAGCATGGACTCGGGAACCCATCAGGAACAGGCAGCAAGGAAGCATCCCGGACCACGCATTCCTGGCAGATCCGCATTCTTACTTTTTAAGCCAAGTTCGTTGAAACACATGGTAAAACGTACCCATCTTAAGCATACAGCTCAAAGGCTTTTGACAGATGTCGACTCTTATGTAAATCACCGTAAAATCCAGAAGTTTACACCCCAGACAGTCCCTGACCCCCACCCTACGACCTGTGAACTGACCTCTGTCGCCTGTCACTCTGCCTGTTCCTGAACTTGGTGGGCGCCAAGCCCCGGCGTCTGTGGTGTCCCGGCTCGGGTCTGAGACCCGCCCAGCAGCACGTGTGCATGGAGCTGGGGCGCACGGCCCTGCACCTGGACGGAGCTCGCCTGGTGCGCCTGCGGGGCGGGACGGGACGGGGCCTGTTGGAGGCGCCAAAGCCACCGTCCTTCTAAGGCAGCTGCTTTTGTGACACGGTGGCATCTTTAGAAGGGGAGGGCTTAATTCACAGAGTTACAAGTTCCCAATTTCTGAAAGCTTCACAACTTGCTGTATGTCCTGAGAAAGGTTGGGATGAGGATATACATACCAGATGTTGCAGGTCCAGCGGTGACATTTAGCTGTGAATTAGCTTCTTGCGTGTGGTGGGAGGCTGAGGGCTCTTCCTCACCAGGACTCGGTGTGGGGCAGCCAGCCCTCTGCTCGTGCCAGGAAGGGAGGGGGACCCCAGGACGAGGCAGGGGTGGAGGCCGTTACGGCGTTCACAAGCTGCTGCAGGGCCCCAGGGAGAAGCGAAGATGGGCGTGGGACCCGGTGAGCTGGGCAGCGGCCAGATGGACCTGCTTCCGGAGGGACTTTGAGAAAAAGATGAAACCAGAATGCTGCAAAATCACCCCAGAGGTGAGAGGAGAAAAGCCAGAGTTTGTCCTCACACATGACCAAATGGTCGTATTTCTGCAACAAGTACGAACTTCACAAGCCCACGGCTGTCCACCAAGCAGAGCAGGCCATCTCCTTGCGCAGGTGACCGGACAGATGTGGTGGCACGGCCTCGCCGTGGGATGGCCCAGCGCGGGGTGTTGAGGTCAGACCTCCCGGTGTCTGGGGTCCCACTCGTCCTCCCCGGACGGCCCGTAGATGCCAGGAGCCAGTCTGCCTCAGCTCTTCTCTGCAGCAGGCTGATGCCCAGCCCCATAACTCCTGTATTTTCATTACAGCCGGGTCCTGATCCTGGCGATCGGGGAGGAATGTGAGGTCACAGACGCCAACCTAATGAGGGTCTGGCAGGAGGAGCAGTGCTTTCGATGGGTCGTGTCAGTTTTATGGATTACGACGGCTTTTTACAAGGTGTGACATGAGATGTGTGGATTCATGGCTCTCTCAGGATTAATTTGGAAAACTGGTGTTCTTGGTTCTGAGCCCCCAAATAATGATTTCTCATTCTTCACTGTCTGCGACGTTAACAGCCCCTGGGCTGCAGTCTCTCCCACAGCTGTGGTCCCAGCTGGCGGGCTGCTCTGGGCACGCCAGGCTCCTCCCCGGAGTCTGCTGAGCGCCGCATCCCTGTGCCTCCCCAGGCCAGCAGGACCCTGACACTCCGCTCAGCTCCCCATTCTCTCCCAGCTGTGTCAGCAAGTGTCCCTGAAGCTCGGCTATGCCTTCTCCTCTCGGGAGTCTTGGCCGTCTGGCAGCTCTGTGCACCTTCTCATGAAAGTTTTCATGTTTTGTGTGGTGTCGGTTGGTGGTCTGTTCTATCTGGACCCCTTTCAGGACACTGAGGGACTGGTGGTCTTGGTGCAGCTCTCTGGGGCTGTGGGGGGGGGGTGGTGGCAGAAGCTCCCTCCACTGCTCTGTACGCCCGATTGCAACTGAGACAGTGACCCTGCCTCCTTCCCCCACAGCCCTAGTGGGGCGCGTTCCCAAACTCTGTTCTCGTGCTGGGTGGGGCGCCAGGCACGTGGGGAACCCTCATACCTGACCCTCAGAGCCCCTCTCGCACTGCTGACCACCGGCACCCACCTCTAGCCCTGCACCCTCGCTCCGAGCCTCGTACCTCCCGGAGACACGACCACTGTTACCAGTGAAAAACCCAGCAGCGGCGTGGCCGTGGGCCAACCTCTGCAGGTGCAACGAGCCCAGCCTGCGCACATACGGAGACACAGTCTCGCCCCCGGCCCCTCACGGCCTCACTGAGACCCTACAGAAACCCAGGCCCAAAACCGCTAATCTGAAAGGGCGCTCCTGTGTCAGGAAGCACAGCCATAGGAGTACCAGGCGAAAAGCAGATGGGAATCTTCAGAAGATGGGTTTGAGAAACTCTTGAGGGAGGACAGACAGATTGAGCAGCGCCAAGGGCTTCCTGGTAGACCTTACAGAAGCTCCCCAAGGGGGTCCAGGACACCCCAGTGGAGCGATGTGCAGGCTCTGGCGGTCTCTCATGTCCCAGGATAAATTAGAAGTTAAGATGGTGTAAGCATTTCAATTGAAAGATGGAAAACTCGGGGAAAGTGGTCCGTGGAGTGCCACGCCTCCAGTCTGAGAGTGGAAGGCACGGCACGTGAGGCATTTTTGTCATGTTCTGGGGCTGCCCAGATGGGGGGTCGCCCACTCACCTCTTTGGAACAAAGTCAGGCTGTGGGAGCAGGGTGGTCACATGGTTTTTGCACAGCAGCTACCATATGGAGAAGGAGGGCCCAGCCACGGGGTCTGGCTCCCCCCTGAGAACTAGGCGGAACCACGTGGCCCACTGTCCGCCCACACACTGGGCCTCCCCAAGTTCCATCTGCAAACACCCAACAGGGAGGACAGGGTCAGAGGAGAGCCCTAGAGACCCTGTCCAAGGTGCCCCTTCCATTTCCTCCAGCATCTCCATCCTGTCTGCTTCCCGGGAATAATCTGATCACACATTCAAGCACATCCTTCCTTCCACTTACACCACGTAGAGCCCAGCAGGGATGAACTTGGGAGTTTCTCAACTCACGCAGAGCCCTCGGTAGCTGGAGTGCCACCACTGACCGTGACCCTTCATCCCTGAAAAGTGGGGCCAGCCTCTGTGGCCCAAGGCCATGACCGTCCTGCCTCATCATCAGGGGCCCCAGGAACACTCTGGCTTTGCATCCAGGGCGACTGGCTTCTCAAGGCTAAAGGGCCTGGAGGTAGCAGTGCTGTAGCTGGACGGGGGACAGAGCAGGCAACGCTGGACCCCGGGTGGCCACACAGACCCACGCCAGGCTCTGCTCTCCCCGGAGGCATTTAGTGGACCTCAGCCCAGGGAAGGAACCCTCGGAGGGCAGAGCTTGATGCTGGGGAGGTCACGGTGGCTGGCTGGCGCTGTGCCAGGAAGGAAGCACACAGACCAGTAGTTGCAGGGATGGCCCGGCTGCCCTTGAGTCTGCCAGCCACGGAGTCATAGGCACATGGAAGCCCCCACAGGATGTGGGTGGAGACCTAGGGGAAAGCCAGGCACACAGCAGAGACCCCGCGAGGCCCAGGCCTGAGTCAGACCTGCCCCGGCACGATGAGACGGACTCGTGAGTAGGTGAGCTGCTTGGCAGGGAAGAATTCAGCACCGAGAAGTACACAGTGTCCACACCCTCACCAACAGCCCACGGCGGCTGGTGGCCCGTCAGGATCTGCAGACATGTGAACCACAGCTGGGACAGAGAAAGGCTCACGA